TCCCTCCAGGGCCTTCCTCCCTCCAGTCCTTCTCTTCCTCCCTCCCAGCCAGGACACTCTGAGGGGTGTCTCCTACCTCTCTATATGACTTTTTGCTTACGGACTCTGTAAGGCCAAAGCACTTTATTTTCTATTCCAATAAGGCATGGCCAAAATGTAGACTAGATAATCGGTCTCAAGGCCCCGAATGGGCATATATATGTGTATATTGTGTATGTGTATATATGCATATGAATAAATGTATGCATATGTGTATATATATATATATGTATATATATATATATATATATATATATATATATATATATATAATATTCTCTGAGATTTGGACAATTTTTGCTGCAGTACTGGTAAATGGCTATAAGTTCTACCTGCTCAGGCTGTCCTTGCCCCCCACGCCTGTCCTTCCCTTTGCCAATCCTGTCCACCTTTCCCCATCCACCCCCCCCCCCCACCCCATGCATAGGCAGCCCACCCTTGCCAAGTCACCAGACAGCCCTGAGATAACCCAGGGGCCCAGTGAAGACCCAGCCTCTCCACCACCTCATGGAGGGTTCAGCAGAGTCAAGAGGGGCACGGCTGTTCTTAATGCTCATACTATCTTAAAAAGGCTGAGGATGGCCTCAGACCCCAACGAGATCTGGTGAGCACAGCCTTTAAGGTTTTTATTTATCAAGAGGATCAGGAGAAGGCTGTAAACTGCTCATGGTAGGGGAAGTGCCAGCTCGTGGGGGCTGCCCAACCCCCACCCCTGCCCCCCTGGACTCCTCAGAGGTACCCGGCACACACCACCCAGACCAGCTCCAAGTGTGGCCAGGAAGGTCAGTGGGCAAAACCTGCCAAAGTGGGCAGCCAGGACACTGGGAGTCAACATCGTTCCTCTTCTCTACAAGGTAGAACAAGTGCCTCCCCTCCCCACCTCCACGCAGGGGGAGCCCAACTCCCCAGAGACATTCTGCTTGGTCACAGAAGACACAGTGCCCAGGTTGCTGATCCCAAGAACATTGCTATGGAGGAGCCCAAGGATCTTTTCGAGTTGCCAGTAAGCCCATCCCCTTTCCTTTGGATATACCAGCCAGGTTTTTTGTGCTATCTCATTATGCAGGCCCAACTTTTCCCTCCCAGATCTCAGTGATGAATGTAGACAGCCTTCCTACCTGCCCCCCAACTACTGGACTAGTACCATGGAGGACAGAAAACTTTCCTTTTTCACACTCCTTCCCAATCTTACCCCTCTGTCCCACACCCCACCTAGGGCTAGACTTGCTCTCTAAATTCCAAGTCTCTCTCTCATTCCATATTCCAAGACAGCCAATACCTATTCTACTTTTATCCTTAAGTGACTCTCCACTCAGAACCTCCCAGGCATCTTCTCTAGAAAGGTTACTTTCTTTGTCTTGAAGAAGTTCAATTTCCTTTCTTGCCTTTTTCTATCTCTCCTTAAGAGCACCCTCACTCTTACTGTGTGTGCCCTGCCTGTCTGTCTGCTTGCTTGCTTACTTAATAAAGCTCCACCAAATTTTCTTACCTTCCTGACTTGTTCTTTGCCCTCTTGACCACGTGGTGGGTTTTCCTGCAATCCCCACCCACTCTAACAAGTATTCAAAGGTCAATTTGTATGTTAATGCAGAAATTCACCAACATGGTCAATGATGGATTTCTTTGGAAGCATAAGGACGATTAGGAAAGGTAAAGAGAAAGGTAGTAAGGAAACAAAAAAATGGTTTCTTTGGATAAGAAAAGCTTTTGGAAAGTAAGAATTGTCTATTTGTTCCAAGAGCTTATGAGTGAAGTTAGTGAAGTTGGCATGTAATTAAGTTGGCTGTGATTTAAATAAAGTCAAGATTAATACATTGATGTAAAACGAGTATCTCATTCTTTATGTCCATCTATGGAAGTAATTGTGTGTGTACTATTTAGTTTGTCAAGTTTTTAGTATGTGTTTCCCAAGTATGAAATCCACCGTGGATACAGAGCTGACAGTGACTTCAATTTTAACTAGCATCCTAAAATGCTATATTCAGTTTAGTAGCTGCTATTTTAAAGCTCATGTCTGCTGGGTTTTGTCATTGCAGCATTTTCTTCTGCAGCATTTAGTCAGACCCACAGAGCAATAACTCTTGCAAACCTAACAGATCAGGCCAAAGGATTGTGGAGCTCAGAAGTAGGAGACACCTGGCCATACAGCAGAGTCCACTGCAAAAGGAAAAACAGAAACACCAACGAAACAAAACAGGAAAACCAACACAGTGATGATAAAAAACTCACCATTAACTAGAGATAAAACTTCCTCAGGTGTAAAGAAAGTCATTAATGTATGTTGTAAGGTGATGCTGAAATGCTTTTAGGCTCACAAAAGACTTACAAAATGAGCACATAGTTCCCACATATTGCCCAGGCACTTTCTCAATGTCAGCTCCTTACACCGTAATTACCCAAATTAAGAAATATCAGTACAGGGCTGGGAAGCTGGCTCAGTGGTAGAGCGCTTGCCTTGATGCCTGAGGCCCTGGGTTCGATTCCTCAGCACCACATAAACAAAAAGAAAAAAGCCGGAAGTGGCGCTGTGGCTCAAGTGGGGTAGAGTGCTAGCCTTGAGCTGAAGAGCTGAGGGACAGCGCCCAGGCCCAGAGTTCAGGCCCCACGACCAGACCCAAAAAAAAACCAAAACCCAAAAAACAAAACAAAAATAAGAAATATCAGTACAATGCTGAGTGAAACTATCAACTTCATTGCGATTTCACCATTTTTTCCCCCGCTATTTGCCTTTTCTATTCTAGGATTGAAGCCAAGATGCCATAGAGCATTCAGTCATATCATCCTATTTTCTACTATTGGTAAAAATGCTAACACTGTTTTTGTCTATTTTCTCATGATTAAAGCAGAATAAACGATGTCAAGGTATGGTCAAGCTTACAGCAAATACAGGAGATATTCCTTTATGTACTTCCATTAAGATGAAGGAAAAAATCATTTAGGGGAAAATGAAGCAGGATAGACTAGGGAAAAAGGCTATAGATTAGATATGATCAGCTTACAGCAAATAGAGGAGATATTCATTCATTTACCCCCGCCCCCCTTAAGATTAAGGGAACAGAATCATTTAGGGGGAAATGACGCCTGGAGAAGGCAACTCAGAAACATGGTATTTAGAAACCTGGAAGTGCCATCTTTGCTTCAAAGAGAGACAACAGGATGTATCACCTCTCGAGGGGTGCATTGCTCACCCCAAGAATTAACACTTGTGGGGGCTGAGAAGGTGGCTCAGTGGTAGAGTGCTTGCTTTGCATGCATGAGGCCCTGGGTTCAATTCCTCAGCACCACATAAGCCAGAAGTGGCGCTGTGGCTCAAGTGGTAGAGTTCTAGCCTTGAGCTGAAGAGCTGAGGGACAGAGCCAAGGCCCAGAGTTCAGGCCCCACCACCTCCAACAACAAAAAAAATTAACACTTTTCTGACAGGATGTATGCATTCCTGAGGAAAATGCCTCCCCCAAACTTAAGCCACCTCCTACCCAAAAAGCAGGTAACAGGGTACCTTCCTTATCTCAAGGATAAGGATCTGTTTTACGGCAGCATGCATTCTTACCTGGAAGAAATGTTCCCAAACATCCAGAAAGTAACACCAGGAGTGATTAAAGCAAAGATGAAACACCTAGGTTTACATAACTCTCAAGCCAGACCCCTTGCCTTTATCATATAAATGGCCCTAACAGCCAAACAGCTTCATTTCTCTCTCATTCTCTCCCTTGTAGAGCACGCACACTCTTGGTAAGAGTGTGCCCCCACCCTGCCCTTCTGTCTGTCTGTCTGTTTGCTTACTTACTCAATAAAGCTCTGCCAAGGTTTCTTACTGTGTGACTTGTCCAGAAATTCTTATTCTGTGATCAAAGTCAAGGATCCTAAGGGAAGAGTGCCTACATTTAAAGGGAAAGCTCACAAGCCCTCACTGTGTCTGGTGACATGATGATGTTGAGTCTGTAGACTCTGAGTTGAGTGGACTTGAAGTTTGAATCAGTGTTTAATGTGGCTGCAACTATATCAAATGCTTAAAAGAAATGGATAGGAAATCACCATATTCCTTCTCTCCAAAACATAAGGCAGAAATGAAATACCTTACTTCTTCATAATTCATTCCACTGTTCTTAAGGGATTAGTAAAGACGAATATTTGGCAGAAAACAAACCCTATACAGATGTCATTAGCTGGAAAATTTAAAGAACAAAATAAGAAAACCTGGAATAAAAAGATAAACTGGCTAAACAAAATAGATTAAAAATTCAAAGTAAAAATTTAATTAAAATTTTATATAAGCATTTGAAAATAAAAATGACAAATAATGCCTATACTAACAATATTTGTAGTATTAAAAAAAGGTGAAGCATACATGATGAGTCTCTGGTCCTTAAGAAAATATTGTAGTATCAAAAACATGTAATAGGATTATAATGAAAATAAAGATAGGTATACATAGGAGTATCCACTTTGTGGGCAATAAAGTAACATTTCCAAAAAAAATCAAGGAAGTCTCAAATAAGACTAATAAAGATATTAAATTACTAAATATTAAAACTATTTTTTAGATTCCTTTTAAAATAAAGATTTGTATAAACGAATCTTGTATTTACCCTAAAATGTGACACGAGTAAATTTAAATTTATATTGCTTGCTGATTTTCCTAAAGAAAAAGGAAACATTAGGTGTCTTTTTTCTCCAATTGAAGAAGTAATGATCCCCTGAACTAGCAAATTGATATGAAAGGGGAAGGAGAGAAGGAAGAAGAGGAGGAGGAAGAGGAAGAATAAATTCTTTGACAATGTGGAATAATGATTCAAGAGGCATTTCAATTATCACTAAGAATTTGTGCCAAGCAGTCCACTGGTCACTTAAGTGTTACAGTATAATAGTGGAAATGCTGTTATGCTTGGAGTTCTCTTCCCTGAGTGTGTCGGCAACAGTCACAACAGAGCAGAGTGCACACACACCTCGCTGGGCAAGCCTACCTTTTTGTCATACACATCCTGCCAGTTTACTCCGGAAAAAAAACTGTGTCTCATGATTTCTTTCGCATCATCTGGCCCTCCGCCGAGGCTGTGAGGACAGAAACAAACTTGAATGAGTGCAAAACATTTACAGAAGCCCAACAGGTCCATTTTCTTGGGGGAAATACAATTTTCCATGTGATAACTAGTTCTTTGGACTAACAGGCACCAAAATAGAAAGTTTTGCTATAAGATCTAATTTTCTCAACATGCTGCTAATAAAACCTATAGTCAGAACAAACAGAAAATGGTATGGGCCAGTATTGCTGGCACGTTGGCGATATGTGGCACTTCTATTTTCCATCTGCAGCACGGGCACAGCCATACCTTCCCGAGGTAATACCAAGAGTTAGAAATAACAGAGGTGGTGCCTAACAAACACATTATTATTATTATTACTATCACTTGTCTAAAACAAATTTCTTTCGGGATAACTCAAGTAAAAAATGTATCATTGTTCTTAAACTCTGAAAGATTTCAGAGAAATATTTTCAGAGAAAATAATTTGTGGAGAATTGTTACTGATAAATACTCATGAATTATTTCATATTTTAAGAGAATTCAACAGGAATTCTATTAAGTCTATGAAATAGCATGAATTAAAAAATGAAAAAAAAAGTGCCCCGTCTTTGAAGATATTCTTATTTAGTCAATATCTAGCATAATAGGAAATGCAAGTCCTTTCCGGCTTCCCCAGTTTCATGAAGCACGTTTGAGTCACTAAGGAAAAACTAGAGGGAAAGAGAGAGAGAGGAAGAGCAGGGGAGTGAGAAAAAAAGTTAACAAGAAAAGAAAAAAAGGAAAAATAAGGCAAGGCCAGGAGCTTAATTCTGAACTTAATGCAGCCAGTTTAGTCAGATTTATTTCAACTGCTCCAAGAAATTATATGTGCTGATAAATACATGGAAAACCATGTATGGGTGTTATAAATTATTATAAAGTATTAATATAAATACAATTGAACACAATTTACAAAGAATATACTTCTACTTTGAAACAAACTCACTGAAAACTTTTGTCAGTTTTTATTCAACCTTAAAGTCAACTACAGTGAAAATGCTTCTGGATCAGTTCTGATGTGATCACAGTTTGATGTTTTTGTTCATTAAAGTCACAGATGAAAGTCACATAACAGAGACACATATCAAACTTCATTTGTCAGTTACATGAGTGACTTCTTTGATGGCTAAGTAGTTGTGGAACAGGGCAAGAATATTTAATGTTTTTGTGTCATTTACAATGTAACACATGCATACACACACACACAAACAAAAAACCCCAAAAAACACATACTTTAAAATTTAATCTGCACCGTTAACATGCTCTCCAACACTCTCTTAAACCTAAATCAAAACAATAAATTAAGCCCTGACTTACAGCACTGGCCAATTCTGACAGTGCATGTCTTTTTCACCAGGCCAGTTTCAAACTGTCATAGGAGCTGTCAATATAGTCTCCATGAAGATACGACTTCAAAACAAAGAAAACAGTAAAATGTAACTAAGCGAATAGGGAGTGATAAATTTTGAGTATTTAGTCCTTTGATTCACTCTTCTTTATGAATTTATGCAGGTTTATTTTTTTTTTTATTTATTTTTATTTTTTGGGTCCGGTCGTGGGGCCTGTACTCTGGGCCTGGGCGCTGTCCCTCACCTCTTCAGCTCAAGGCTAGCGCTCTACCACTTGAGCCACAGCACCACTTCCAGCTTTTTCCTTTTTGCTTATGTGGTGCTGAGGAATCGAACCCAGGGCCTAAGGCATGCAAGGCAAGTGCTCTACCACTGAGCCACCTTCCCAGCCCTACGTTTATTTTTAATAATGACAATTACATTAAATATCTAGCCTACAACATTCCTGAAAATTTACCATTTTGTTCTGGTAAGCTTGTACCTACCAACTATAATAATACTAGTAGGTAGAAGGGAAACCAAACAGGTCATGGTAAGTGGCAGTTACTTCTCACAAGTTCTGGTTGTCATGAGTAAGAAACAGGTGACACAACCATAGAATATCAGATAATTGGTTGACACTTGGCTCTCTGCTGATGAGTGGCTCCCAGAGAGGAGTCACCGCTGTGAACTCTAGCTGGAAATCTCTAAATGAACTACACCACAGAGACAAGTTTTAAGGTTGCCTCATGTTACAGCTGTTATGCTCCCATCTGGCACATTTTGTCTGGTGGAATCTCTATTAATGCATTCTGTTCCCTCTCACTCTGCTAAGTTCATCTCTGGTAAGTTTATCTCTTCCAATAGGCTGGGAACTTCTGGAGACAAACATCAGTACTTGATTGCCCAAAAGGTATTCTAAGTCCACACAGGGGACAAGAAAAGCAGAATAACCAAAGCACTCGTTTCTAAAAAGAAGTTAATATTTTATTGTAGGAAAAAAGTAGTCTGTATGAAAAACAGCCAAAACCCCATGTACTTTCCTACACTGGTATTGAAATGGGTTGGTGCTTCACAGTTTTACTGTTTGTAATACTAACTCTTTTTGATGTGTTCTTGACATGGTACAGGTGGTGAGAACTGAACACAGAATCTTAACCGTTTCATGAAATACCTTGTTATTTATTTTTGAATGAAATGAAATGTTTTTTTGTCTGTTTTTTTTTGTCAGTCGTGGGGCTTGAACTCTGGGCCTGGGCCCTGTCCCTGTGCTCTTCAGCTCAAGGTGAGTGCTCTACTGCTGCTTGGGCCACAGCACCACTTCTGGTTTTCTAGTGGTTTATTGGAGATAAGAGTCTCATGGAGTTTTCTGCCCAGGCTGGCTTTGAACCGTGATCCTCAGATCTCAGCCTCCTGAGTAGCTAGGATTGTAGATATGAGCCACCAGCACCCAGCTGAAATCTCAGTTCTTCAGTAATAATTTGGTTTGGGATATGGCTAGCACAATTTACCAAATATATACACAAAATATTGCTCAAAAAGACTCGCAAAGCCTAAGATTATAAACTTTGATTGTTGTTTTAGATAGGGGACACTCATTAATATAACTTCAGAGAGTGAAGCTGTTAACACTTTCAATGTCAATATCATAATGTCAAAATAAATCCTTGGAGCCCATAGATTTTTTGTTTTTGGCAAGGGATGGGGGGGTTCAGGGAGAGGGAGAGGAAGTACTGAGGTTTGAACACTGGGTCATGCATTTGCCAGGTAGATGGTTTACTGATTTAGCCGTACCTCCGGCTCTTTTTGCTTTAGTTTTCATCTTCTAGCTTTGCCCAGAGCTGGCCTGGACTATGATCTCTTCCCACACAGCTAGGGTTAACTGGCATGCCCCATCACTTATGAAGATGGAGTCTTGCTAACTTTTTGTGTAGCTCTCCTAGAACTGCAATCCTCCTTGTTTTCTCCTGAGAAGCTGAGATTATAGGCATGAGCCACTGTGCCCAGCCTATGTATAATTTACTATTAGAAACACCACAGATTTCCTATTTTCCTAGTATACTAAATGCAACATGAGGCATGTTTTTCCTGTAAGGTGCATGGATGATAAAGAATTAATAGAATGCTCACAAAGTAACAGAGAATAAGATATATAAGGAAAATTATTGTATGCCAGATATGGGCTGGATCCCCGGCACCCTGCAAGGGAAAAGAACACTAGACACATGCAGGCTGAGTTTAAAGAACCTGACCAGTCTATGATACTGGCATATTTCTCAGACCTCCCAGGAGTGTCCTTTGATGGCTTTTTCTTACCTGTGAACTTGGACATGGCCAGGGTTCTGCCCAGGCCTGCTTCTCTCTACAGTGTAGGAGGCTCCTAGATGTCCTTGGGTCCCAAAGCCATACGATCAATGGCTGGTCTCTTTTCTTTTCCATGCTGGTATTATCCAGCTGCATGCTTGTCATCGACACTGACATCAACACTAGTTCATGCTCCTTGAGTCAACAACACCTCGTTCTTTAAACTAGTCACTCTGAGACCTTCTAGCTACCCCTGACTCCCAATTCATCATTTCTATGTTATCATTTGCACTCAGGAAGGACCCCAAGTTTCATTATTACTGTAAGGGGAACTAGGGTTTGAACTAAGGACTTGTGGCTTGCTAGGCAGGTAGTCTAACATTTGAGGTACTCTTCCCGTTCTTTTTGCTTTCAAATAGGATCTTGTTTTTGCTCAAGTTGTCCTGCCATAGCCCTCGTTTTTATACTTCCCAAGAACCTGAGATGACAGGCACGCTTCGCTGTGCCGCGCTACTGATATGGGAATCTTAAACATGTTTTGCCCAAACTGGCCTAGAACTATGACCCTCTGGACCCCAGCCTTCCCAGTAGCAAGCATAGGTATGAGGCGTCAGGCCTGGCTTCTTTTTATTTTTTACACTCAGCCTCGTGCTGTAGCCCAGGCTGACACAGAACTCCGTCCTCCTGCCTCAGTCTACGAATGCTGACTATAGATACATGCGACCACACTTGGCTCCAAAGGAATTCTTAACTGCTCTCCCTCCCTGCTCCTCGCTCTTCATCAGTCTACCTCAAAGCTGCCAGAATTAGCCTTTCCTTTCTTTTATTCTGTCAGTCATGGGGCTTGAACTCAAGGCCTGGGCATTGTCCTTGAGCTCTATTTTTGTTCAAGGTTACGCTTGAGCCACAGTTCCACTTTGGGTTTTCTGTTAGTTAATTGGAGACAAGAGTCTCATGGACTTTCCTGCTAGGGCTGGCTTTGAACTACGATCCTCAGATCTCAACCTCCTCAGTTGCTAGGATTATAGGTGTGAGCCACCAGCGCTCACTTCAGAATTACATTTTCAGAATACAAATCTTGATTTAAAATACCCTCATGGCTTCTCATAATTTTGTGAATAAACACTAAGTTCCTCTAAGAAACATAAGGTCCTTATAACTAACATCACAGCTTCATCCCTGACAGCTGAGCTCTCAACTTGCAACCCAGCCACACTTCACATGTCAATTTGCCTTCCTGAGTGTCACCTCTAACCCTAACTCCTGGGCCAGCTCACCCCAGACCTCACTAACTACCCTGACAGCACTGAGCACCAGCAAGCATGCGTGGATGCGCTGGGCCTCATCGATGCCCGAGTGTCTATGGCAGGGACGTGCTCATACTAGTCTGTCTTGGACTCTTGTAGAGCAACACAGTGGGGCCCAGCGCATCTCTTAGGAAACAACGAAGCAAGTGGCTGCGAATACTGCCTTCTGTCTCTGGAGCACCACTGACCTCTGGCAGGAGACACTTTGTATCCAGCATATCGATTTATAGAAATTCACCTGGCCTTTGTTCACTAGGATGGAAGTGAGCCAATGGTGAACAGACGGGGTGGACATGGACATGGGAACCATGAATTCAGTTTTGTTGTACACGCCTCTAGAGAGGTGCCCATGGCAGTCAGAGCTGCCGAGGAGAGTTAAGAAAGGCTGGGAAATTCAAATTTCAGGATTCATTTGTTCGGTCACTCAGTAAATCTATTTGTCAGGAGCCACAAACCAACCCTAGATGAGATGGGACTCAGGGAAATCACAGGCTCAGTGCTTCAGTTCATCACCTGCAGAAGCTGTTAGGTGTGCACAGACACCTGGGTGGAGGGCCCCTAGTAAGACTGCTCGTATTTCAAGACACCTTAAAGTCAGTAGTCATTTCACACGCCCCATGTGTGAAGTAATGGGACAAAGGATATGTGGCTAACTGAGCAAAGCAGCAGAGACTCCCTGAGGTCAGAGAAGGAGCTGCAAAAGCAAAACTCCTTTCAGCCCCATGTGGAAAGATAATGCTTTCAAGTAACTGGCAAAAACAGGGCTAGCAGTGTGAATATGGGCTGGGAATGGGAGAGAAGTAGTGAGTGGAGAGCAGCACGGCTGTTCTTTCTACAAAGTGAACCAGCAGAGATTGGAAGGCCGGGGGAATACTGGGGGAAGATCAAGCCATGCACAACTGAGAAACTGTCCATACATAATGTGGACATTTTGTGAATCCACGTAAAATTTCCACTGAGAGACACTTTGATGAAAAATTTACATGATCTATATTATGTGGTTAAAAATAATTCATTATCTCAGTGGGAAGATGTCTACACTAAGTACATTGCTTTTTGGAGTTAGTTTTATTTGAATTGATTTCCAAATCATGGTTTCTAACCATACCCGTCAATAATGCAGCAAGCATGATTTGAGGCTTACCGTTTATTTGGATCCTTTATCAAGAGCCCTGAAAGCAATGATTTTGCATCTGAAGAGAGTGTTCGAGGAAATTTTATGTCTTCCATAAGTATTAGTTCAAAAAGTTTCTCATGATCCTGGTTGTAGAAGGGTAACCTTCCACACATCATTTCATACATGACAACACCAAGGCCCCACCAGTCCACAGCTCGGCCATAGTCATTATCTTCCAACACCTAAAAGCAAATCAGCAAAGTGACTCGTTATTGTATGCTAGCCTTTCAAGAACAGTGAAAAAAACAAGGCTTACAGAAAGTGAGCCCTGACTTCTAGGGCTTAGATAAGTCTAACGTCTTGACCTTTAACCTATGATACACCCTACAAAAGATATAACCTATGCAAGTATGTGCAATATCACAGAAACCATCAGTATATTACAAAGGGGGCATGCACACACACTCATCCATGCACACACACAACCCTGAAGTGAATAAGCATATCCACGGATCAAATAAAAAAAGTAGCAGCATATCTATATACATCCTCTGAGGTTGACTCAATTTTTCATTCTCAGTCCTACTAATCTAGACTTTAATAACATAAAATTAGATGGTACTAGAGACAGAACACTGAAGAAAACAAAGTTTTGTTATTTGGTTTGTAACCAGTTTTAGCATTCAGAGTCTCAATAATTCAAAACAACCCTTTCATTAACGCAAACACAACCCAAATCCCAGACCTAAAATCTGTGTGGTATGTACCTTTACATTTGTCTCTCAAAATACAGAAGATAGACTGGGTGCCAGTAGCTCATAACCTGTAATCCTAGCTACTCAGGAGCTGGGACTTAAGGCTTGAGGTTCAAAGACAGCTAAGCAGAAAAGTCTCTGAGATTCTTATCTCCAATTAACCAGCCCCCAAACTCCAAGTGGTAGAGTGCCAGCTTTGAGCAAAAAAAGCAAGTGAGAGTGCAACAGGCCCTGAGTTCAAGTCCCAGTATTGCCCGAAACAAAAATATCAGATGCAAAAGAAGTTTTAGACATTAGCCAGGCACCTATGACTCACGCCTGTATTTCTAGCTTCTCAGGAAGCTGAGACCTAGAGATTAACACTTAAACCCAGCCTGGGCAGACACATCTAAGAGGCTCTTATTTCCATATAATCAGCAAAAAGCCAAAGTAGAGGTGTGACTTAAGTGGTAGTGAACCAGGCCTTGAGTGGAAAAAGCCAAGCAAGAGCAACAGCCCCCGAGTTCAATCAAGTCCCCAACTTCCCCTACTCCCCCCCAAAAAAAGAAAAAAAGAGGTGACATTAAAGTATAACTTTTATTATGTTAGATCTCTTCAAATCAGAACATGATCATTTACAATTTGACTCATTTTTATCATATTTGTTTCTTATTCGATGAAACATTCCTCATGAATAGATAACTTCAAGTATTTTTAAATGAATATGCTTTAAAAATCTTAAGCTTACTTAAGCTTCTGAAGCTTTAAGGCAAATCAGATAAAAAAATCACAAACATGAATTACATCAATTAAAAAATCTTCTTGGTTTTAATTAAAATTGTTGAATTGCAAATACATTTAAGCAGTTATGTCGTTGCAACCTATAAATATCATGAAAGGTACATATGAAGACAGAATAAAGATTAAGGCTAAGATCTCAGAAGAATAGTATGTTACTTAAAGATCTATTCAGTAAGCATTTTTGGAATACTGTAATTTTTAAAAATTCAATTGTAAAAATGTTTCATGGCTAAAGAGGTCTAGGAACAAATGCAGCAGTGGTATTCACTAGACACTATGTTGAAAATATACAACTTGTAGGTGGATAGGTGGGAAAAACTGGGAGAAAGCGAGGGAAGAACTGACATTATCCAAAATGAAAAGTAATCCCTCTGTATATAATTTTTATAATAATAAAAAACATGTCTAGGAAATGAATTAGAAACTTAGACAAGTACAGTTACTGTTTTTCCAGAAACAATTTCAAAACTAAAAAAAAAATTCTAAAGGAACAAGAAATTCTAGTTTTCCTCACTGGCCAAAACATATTTAACATTTCTACTTGTTTGAAATGAGTAACTTGAGAACATGGGGAAATCAAGAAATACCCTAAGATGTGTAAGGAACTCTGTTCTGTTCATCAGTCACAGGAAATGCCGGTATCTATCTGTGGAACACCAGGGACTTTTGATGGCTCAAGGCCTGTCTCATGGCCAATTAACAGAATGTAATGTATTGTGAGAATTTATGTATCATAATGCAGGATTCTATCTAGTAACCAAACAAATTTTTTTTTTAATCTAAGTACTCTTTAACTGCATTCCTACAGCACGAACAAAATAGTGGCACACACAAAAAGGAGCCAAATGTGGTTTTTAACCTCTTTTTTCACACAAGCATAAAAAGCATAAAAGCTGGACTAACTGCCTCCCGAACCTACATTTCAGCAGCCGGGTTCTCATCCCCAGCTGGTAAAACTGGCAATCCGTTATTTTTGTTTAAATACCTGGTCTGCAGCCAGAAGAGAAAGTGAGCACATAAAAAGAGGCTTTTCATTTCTAAAGAGACATAAGCAACTGAAAAATAAAACTGCTTTATGAAAAAATCTATTTTGTAAGATATAATGTTTCATTTAGCTCTGTAAAATAATCAGATTCTCACAATAAGCAGCTTTGCTTCTGTGAATACCTGCTTTAACTGACACTCAAATACACAGTACTGTAAGCAGGACTGTCTGCTGAACCTCATACCCAGCAACATTGATGTAATGCCTTACTGAGCAATACATTCCTACAACCAGTCAACCCTCACTACTTAAGAGATTTTGCTCACCAATGAAAAACAATGATTTGTATTCAACTCCTCTCCCCTGATAGCTATGTGGAAGATAAAATCTATAAGAAATAATAATTTTCAATTATGGGAATATGAACCATCCTCCCTCTACACATATTACATCTTTCTTTGTCCTTAAGTCTAAATGATTTAAAAACACAGTACTATGAAATACTTTGAAAAATCCCCAAATCAAATTATTTTAAACCCAACTGCCTATTTTATATTCGTTTTTACATTTATTATTAAATTTCCTTGAACTGTTCTTTATAAAGGTAGGTGTACAGAGGGGTTACCAGTTTATAAGTCAGGTAATGAGTACACTTTTGGACAACGTCACCCCTTTCTCCACTCTCTATATTAGCTTTGTTTCTTGTAAACTAAGTGGTTGTACAAAGAAGTTACCATCCATAAGACAGGTTATGAGTTACACGCTTCTCGGTCCCTTCGCTGCTTCCCCATCTCTCCCCACCCCCAGCTACGTAGTTCACTTTGCAGGAAGCACACAGAGTACAATGTCTGCATCTGCTCCCACTCCCTTCATTCCTGTGCCCCTTATATTAGTTTTGGAAGAAAATTTTTCTCATGAAAAGGACTTCTCTTTCTAAAATTACAGTAACATACCCATTTCAAATTCTGGAATCTCAGTCAGTGTTGTAATTCTGTTTTTTCTTAGTGAAAGGGCAATTTTTTTCACTGCTATAAGAGAAAGCTGATCTCAGGGATAAAGTAGAGGTACAATAATAGTCACAATGGTAGACCATTTCAACTCTATTAAAATATCATTTATCATTGGATGTAAATACAGATGAAAACATGCTTCCAGACAAATGACTTACTAAAAGAGTTATCTTGATGAGTTAATCTAAAGCATCTCTTTTCCATAAATTCATTATTTCTGACTTTCAAATGCAGTTCAAGGCCAATTATGAACAGTGACATCTGATTAACTTCCTCCTTTCCCTATTGTCCTTGGTCATCTTAGATGTAGGTCACACTTTACACCAACATTTAACACAAATGTCTAAATAGATAAAGGACAAGACAGAATTTGTAACACTAATGAAACACTAATGTTAGTAGGACATGAGAGCTCATATGAAATCAAAATCAGAGTGCCAACTTCAGGAAATAGGCTGAGTTCCATGTTTCTACCAGGATCCAGAAATTGCTTTACTTCAAGATACAGTCAGACCTCAGATCTAAGGAAGTCGCAGCGAACATCAATTAATGCTCAATATTCTGTAATATTTGGTAAGTCCACTTGCATAAAACAACTAGGTGGAAAAACACTAAATCACCTCAGATAAACTCTTGAGTATTTACTAGTTTCAAAGAATGAGGCTACTGATAAAACTATGTGTTTTAAAATGAGACAATCAATTAAAGGTCCAATGTAAACATTTATTTGGTGATAGGTATTTCAGAAGCCATTTTAATCCAACATGCTTTCACCTGTCAGGATGTGCTGGGAGACTAGGAGACACCTTTCTTAGCTGCCCCTTAGGCCAGCGATAATAGGAGGCTGTGTGCCCTACAGTGCTCACTATTCAATCAGGAAGCCTGACAGAACAGATGGGAAAAAATTAAACATCTAAATAAAGTGTCTACACACCTACGTTGTGAAAGTAAACTGCGAACTTGGATGAACCAGTTTATACTAATTTAAATTTTTTTTCTGATTTACATTTCAGGTAAGTGATATCTACGAGTTTTCTATATATATGTACTTCATACTTTATAGAAGCCTTTTGTAAATTCTTAACATCACAGGTATTTGATGAAAAAGAGTAACTTGTAATTTTGCCAATTCAGATTGTTAAATAAACTCAACTTTCAGAGAGGAGAAAAATATGTCAGTCCTTAAGATTTATCCCTTATCTTCAATAACTAGTATATGTCTAGGATAAGCAGAAGAGGTCAAAAGCTATGCACATATGACCATATAACCTGATGCTAAGCAAAATGTACCCCAAGATAGGGACACAAGGTATTTTATCTTTCTTGTTGTTCTTTTTAATGTACTGTGCGATTTTCTTTTTTTCTTTGTATGCTCTTCCCCCATGGTATAACCCCTGTTGTCACTGTATTTGATATCAGTGCCCTGCATCTTGTATATACATTTTTCTAATTTGGGGAGAGGAAGGGAATTAACAAAATGCTGAAATAAGGATACAGGATGACCCATTCTAACAATGAGATGTACAAGACACTATGTTGAAAACGAACTTTACAACTTTGCGGGGGGTGGGGGGCAGGGGAGTGTTGGGAGAGGTAAGGGACCGTAAGGGAAAAACAAAGGAGGGGGTAACAATGCTCCATAAGAAATGTACTCATTATCTTGCTCATGTAACTGTAACCCTTCTGTATAGTATCTTTACAATAAAACATGT